GACTTAGCGTTTTAATCCATGCTATTTTGATGAGTGTATGAAATGAAGATCTCTCTCTCCCTCCTATCCCTGCCCCCAAGAAAGTAAAACTAGTCAAGTTTCCAAATGTTCTGGCACCAGACTGACTCCATCAAACTTCTTGACTCTAGGCAGTGTATACATCTTGCAGATATACATGCATTCAGTTCATGTTTATTGAATATATGTGTGTGTATATTTATATATACACATATGTATATGCATATCTATATTATGCCTGGCACTATACCATCTGCTGAGGGCATAACAGAGAACAAAAGGCACTAAACCCCTGCCCTTGGCGCTTGCATTCTAGTGGAGGAGATGGATAACAAGAAAACAAACAAGCTAATGTAGACCATAATGTCAGAGAAGAGTGGATTTTATCCAGGAAATAAAGAGACCACGGATGGCAGAAATTTCATATTTGCTCCACAAACTTTCCCTTAGACTATAGATTAAATCCTATTATAGTTAGCCTCTTCACATTTCCCTCCTACTTCCTCTCTTTTTTCCTTGTTCTCGTCCTTCATTTGGCTGGCTGTTGCCCGGAGTAAACACGCTGGGGCTTAGGAAGCATGGACGGCTATGATCACAGTCCCGCAGAGGTCCCACAGGCCCACTTCAGCCCCCCTGCTTCATTTGTTCCCCTGTGAACAGAGGCATTTGGATTTGTGTTATAATAACATAATGAGGCCACCTTCTGGGGGGCTATATTTAGCCCACATTCCGGCAGTGACCTACATAAAATCTTTAACAGGCTTTAAAATCATACCTGAGTTTAAAGATGTTCTTATACTCATCATATGGCACACACAGGTGAGACATAAACAGGTGCAGTGGATAAGAAAGGCATTTGGAGGTTTGGGACGAGGTAGGCATTCAGTAAGCACTGTGCTTCCAGAACCGTGCTCAAGCTGGTCCTTCTGTCTGAAATATCCTTCCTCCATAGCCACCTATCAAATGTCCAACTTGTCCTTAAATGCCAGGTTCAAGCCCTCCTTTTGATAGTACTTCACTAGACCCTTCTCCACATCTGATAGATCTTTTCAATCCTTTTATTACCATTCTTTCAACTGCCTACAAGCTACTTATTATGTATGTTTCCCAGGCTCTATGTATTTTAAAAATGAATGAGAATGTCTATTCCATCTATTTCATCTCCCATTAGTCCAAGCAGATCTTACACATAGTAGTAGCTCAATAAATGTGAGATCAATTTTAATGAGACTGCTTTCCCTATCCACGATGCTCCAGTGCTAGTCTGAGTCTGCAACAGAGGTTCTCATCCTTCCTAATGCTGCAACCCTTTAATGCAGTGCCTCATGTTGTGGTGACCCCCCAACCATAAAATTATTTTCAATGCTACTTCATCACTGTCATTTTGCTACTGTTATCAGGCGACCCCTGTGAAAGGGTCATTTGACCCCCAGGTTGAGAACCTCTGGTCTAGAAGCTATAAAGTTAAAACATGTTCAGAGTCCTGAACTGGCTTGCCCTAATTGAGCCCATAGCTACAATCTGTTGTATGATATTTCAGATAACTGTTATTTCCACTGGATTGCCATGTAAATTTTTTTTAATTTTTTTATTTATTTTTATATATATATATTTTTAACATTTTATTAGGGGCTCATACAACTGTTATCCCAATCCATACACACATCAATTGTGTAAAGCGCATTTGTACATCGTTTCTCAAAACATTTTCTCTCCATTGAAACCCCCGACATTAGGTCCTCATTTTTCCCCTCCCTCCCCGCTCCCCCCTCCCGCATGAGCCCTTGATAGTTTATAAATGGGTATTTTGTCATATCTTGCCCTGTCCGACGTCTCCCTTCATCCCCCATGTAAATTTTTTTTAAAGCTAAGCATTTCCCACACATTATTTGCACCTCTATTTTCATTCAAGAGATTGCACTCTTTTCTAGTTATCAGAGTTCAAAACATAGAGCCAACTTTGAAGTCACCTTTTCTCCCAGCCCCCACCAAGCTTCAAAAATTCTTTGTTCCTTCTCATTTATTCCAGATGGCACCATACTCATTCCAGAGAGACGTATGAGTTTCCCTAGCCAGGCTATTTTTATATGATCAGTTATTACACAATATCGTATAGCATAATAATGAATGTCTATGATTCTTAAGGACAGAAATATAAATTTACAGTAGAAAGTAAGTACTGTACTGAGAGCCAAAACAGTCTGATGTGATCCTTACAGTAAAGATATTATATAATGTTTGGCAGAACTTTTACCTTCCTTGTAAATTAAATTAATTCCATTGCTTACAAAGGTGCTCTAAAGAGTTTTTATGTGGGCCCACCAAGTTCAGAGGATGAGGGCCCAACGTACAGAGAGAACCATACAGCCGGATCCACTGTGAGATGCGACATCCTACACTGACCCATGGCCCTACACTGGACACCACTGGAGACACAGTGTGAGATGTGTGACTGAGCTGACCCCACCACACTAAGGCAAAACACAAGGCGTGCAATGGAGTGGCGGGGGAAGCAGAGCAAGGAGGTCCCGAGAGAGTATAAAGGATGGACTTTGGGGCCAGGATGTGGCATCCCATCAGACTCATCTGGAAAACACTCCTAAAAATCAAAAAACAGACCTTGAATTATTAACAGGCTTTTCTTTTTTTTGTTGTTTTGGTTTTTTTCTCTTCTTTTAAATTTTGTATGTCAGTGACTTTTTTGTTTGTTAGCTTGTCGGTGTTGCTGCCATTGTTGCCATGTTCTTATGTGCCACTTTGGTGCTGTCGAAGCCATCTGCAATTTTATGCACATATTATTATCTCTGCAGGTCCACCTAGATAAGGGAGGCTGGACAAACAATGTGAAGAAGAAAATAATAGGACCAATGGTCCCAGAGGGACATGAGAGTGTGGGAGGTAGGGGAAGGGAGGAGGTGTTGGCCAACCCAG